TATGCATGTGAGAGCTGGACGATGAATAAGGAAGACCGAAAAAGAGTTGATGCTTTTGAGTTGTGGTGCTGGCGAAGAATGCTGAAAGTACCACAGACTGCTAAAAGAACTAACAGATCTGTCCTGGAGGAAGTGCACCTGAAATGCTCCTTCGAAGCGAGAATAGCCAGACTTCGTCTCACCTATTTTGTTCATGTTGTCAGAAGAGACCATTCCCTTGAGGAGTATGTCATGCTTGGTAGGGTGGAGGGTTGACAGAAAAGGGGGAGGCCTTCAACGAGATGGATTGACATGGTGGTTGCGATGATGTGCTCAAGTATAGAAGGGATCAAGGAGCGTGGGATCAGGCAGTGTTTCATTCTGCTGTGCATGGGGTCGCTATGAGTCGGAAGTGACTCAACAACACCTAACAACAACAACAATAACAGAGTCTGTCCTTAATTGTTATTTTCCTGTTTTTCATATTTTCCTGAAAGAAATCACATACAATGATTTGTCTTATTTGCTACCTCTTTGTAGTTCCCAAATCTGTATTTCCAGCCCAAATTGCTGTTGAATTCTCAAAAGTCCTATCTTTCTGCCTTCTATTCATTTTTGCCACAGCCAAACGTATTTTCTTCTTTCTTGTATTTCCCATCTTAAATACTTCCATTCTAAAATACCTACTTGTCTTCCCTCTTTCTCGCTCATCCCTCCCCAGACCAACCTTAATTGGCCACAAGTCTTGCTTAATCATTCTTTAATATTTATCTGTGCCCTCCTTCCCATTCTTATTTTTGTTCTACCTACTAAGGCCTTCATCATCATTTCCTTGTCCTGTTAGAATAGCCTTCTGTCTTCTAATTCTGATTCTTACTCGTTACTAGTTGTCTTCTATCTTGCTAATGTGATCATTCAGAATTTCAGGTGTAGACATAATATTTACCTGTTTGAAAATCCCCAAATTATATTTTAAAAAAGTACAATTATTTAGTCCTGTGCAGAAAAGCACTCACCAACCTGCCAGTATAGCCGCTGCTTCATCTATTTATAGTATATGTAGCTTCCTTGCTATGTTAAGTTTTCATGCCCTTGCACATGTTGTTTTCATTGTTTGGAATATCTTCATCCCATTTTCTTGCTGATCTTTGAAGGCTCGGCTCAAATGTCAGCTCTTCATGTTTAGGCTATTTGGATTATCCTTACCTTTACTCACTATTTTGTACATCCATGGTAACTTTTACAGACTTTTAATTTAGTACCCAAAGTACTTCTTTATGTATATATAGTGCCTAAGGCATTTGACTGCTAACCAGAAGGCTGGCTGTTCAAACCCACCAGCCACTCCTCGGAAGGAAGACTGGGCAATCTACTTCCATAGAAGGTATCGCCTTGGATACCCAAGGAGGGGTTTGTATGAATTGGAATTGACTTGATGGCAGTGAGGTGTTTTTTTTGTTTGTTTGTTTTTGTTTTTTCAATGTATGTATACACACACACACACACACATAATTTTCTATATACATAGAGAGAGAGGATTTTATATGTATATATAAATTCTGCAATCTGAAATGGACCAAACATACAGTCAAGATGTGTAGATTATCACTGGTGACTGGAATGCAAAACTTGACAACAAAGAATGATCACCAGGAGTTGGAAAATATGGCCTTGGTGATAGAATGACATGGGAGATCTCACAATAGAATTTTGTAAGACCAATGACTTATTCATTGCAAATACCTTTTTTCAACAACATAAATAGTGGCTGTACGTGAGGACTTCACCAGATGAAATACACAGGAATCAGATTGACTACATCTGTGAAAAGAAGTGATGGAGAAGCTCCATATCTTCAGCCCAAACAAAGCCAGGAGCTGACTGTGGAACAGACCATCAATTGCTCATATGTAAGGTCAAGTTGAAGCTGAAGTCAATTAAAACAAGTCCACAAGAGCCAAAATATGACCTTGATTATATCCCTCCTGAATTTAGAGACCATTTAAAGAATAGGTTTGATACATTGAACATGAGTGACTGAAAACCAGATGTTGGGTGAAAGAACATTATACATGAAGAAAGCAAAAGGTCATTAAAAAGACAAGAAAGGAAGACCAAAATGGATGTCATAAGAGACTCTGAAACTTGCTCTTGAACAGAAAGTAGCTAAAGCAAATAGAAGAAATGACAAGATAAAAGAGCTGAATGGAAAATTTCAAAGAGCAGCTTGAGAAGACAAAACCAATTATTATAATGCAATGTGCAAAGACCTGGAGTTAGAAAACCAAAAAGGAAAAACATGCTCAGCATTTCTCAAGCTGAAAGACCTGAAGAAAAAATTCAAGTCTTGAATTGAAGTATTAGAGGATTCTATGGGCAAAATACTGAATGATGCAGGAAACATCAAAAGAATATGGAAGGGAGACTTCTGGTAAGATGGCGGAATAGCCAGACAAACTACACTGACCCTCTTAAACAATGAAAAGAGAAACCAATTGACACAGATACAGAAGATAATCCTGGAGCCCTGAGCTTTGAAAGAAAGGATACAGAAGTGGATTAAACAACAACTAGTAGAAAAATCTGACTGAAAACAGCAGTAAGGAGACAAATGGAGCTGTGGACTGTCAGCTGTCCTGATGGCATGGACAGCCTGAATATTTCCAGGTGGTATTAGTACCTGAGAATTAACGTAAAACTGACCCCTGCTCACCCAAGGCTCCAAGGACTACTGTATGAGTAGATGACAGATGAAAAGGGAAACAGCAAAGAAGGAGACAAACTGAGCTGTGGACTTTTGGCTGTCCGGAACGTGCAGCCTTGTGAATGTTTCCAAGTGGTAGCTAGGCACAAACATTTTGAATGTTTACAGGTGGTGGCCATTTTGGAAATTTAAAGTGTCAGCATTCTCATTCATATTACAGGGACCAAAGAATAGGCTTCCTGTGCCAAAGACAGCACAGACATACAGGAGGCTGATGACTGGAAAGGAGACAGGTAGTGAGTGCATAAGTGCTGCCAACTAGCAAATAGAGGAGCACAGTACTTTGCTTACTCAGATCCAAAGAAAATGAAAACTTTGGGCAAATCACTAATACACAATCACCAATTAAATAAAAACACAAAAGCAATACAATATCTCAGAGACAACAGACCATCACAGTCCACACAAAGAATCAAGATAAAGCAGTAAAAACAAGGGACAAGGATACAGACCCAGAATACATCCTAGAGGAAGAAACAGCATTGGGACTCCCTGATAAGGAATTCAAAGGAATTATATTTAGATACCTTCAATGGACTGAGAGATATATTAAGGAAAACACTGACAAAATTAAGAAAAACACACAGAAAACCGTAGAACAATTTCACAAGACAGTACAAGAACAAAATGACAAAATAAATTAAAAATTAGCAATGATACAGAATCTACAGCTAGACATCCAGAAGATTAATACTGAATTCTCAGAAACAGATAACATGTTTAATGGGCAAAGGAGTAGAATTGAATCAATGGAAGACAGAATTAGTGAGATTGAAGACAAGTACCTCAGTACTTCTTTGGAAAGGGATCAGTCAGAAAAATGATCAGAACAAAATGAAGACAGCAAAAAGGTTCATGTGAGATACCATCAACAGGAATAAGCTACGTGTAATTGGAATTCCAGAACAGGAAGAGACAAATAAAACCACAGAGAAAATTGTCCAAGATTTGTTTGAAGAGAATTTCCTTAATACAATGAAAGACAAGAATATATCCATTCAGGAAGTCCAATGACCCCCAAACAGGATAGACCCCAAAATAAAGTCACCAAGACACTCATCATCAAACTCAACAAAACCAAAGACAAAGAGAATCCTGAAAGCAGTATGGGAAAACCAAAAAGTTATCTACAAAGGGCAACCAATAAGACCGAGCTCTGATTTTTCAGCAGAAACCATGCAGACGAGAAGGCATTGGGATGGTATATGTAAAACCCTGAAAGAGAAAAATTTCCAACTAAGAATTATATACATGGCAAAATTGCCCCTCAAATATGATGGTGAAATTAGGACATTTCCCAAAATGCAGAAATTAAAGGAATTTGTTAAAACCAGACCAACCTTACAAGAGATGCTAAAAGGAGTCCTTTGGGCAGAGACCCGACAACAGCAAACAACAGCCGACTATTAACATATATGATGACATAACCCAGAAACCAACCCAGTTATGGAAGTATCCAAAGTAAATAGGCCTACAAGTAAACAGGGAACCAGAGACATCAGTTGGCAAATGAAAACAACTACTAACCAGAAAGAGGGAAAAAATTGTGTTTTAAATTTTTAATTGTGTTTAAAAATTGTTTAGTTCAGAAGGGACCATTTCCTGGAGAAGGATATCATGCTTGGTAAAGTGGATGGTCAGTGAAAAAGGGGAAGACCTTCAAGGAGATGGACTGATACATTGGTTTTACACTAGGTTCAGTTATAGCAGATATTGTTATGTTAGCCCAGGACCAGGTGGTGTTTCGTTCTGTGGTATACAGGGTCACTATGAGTTGGAGCCAACTCAACGGCACCTAACAACAACCTATTTTATTTTTGTTGTTGTTGTTGGTTGAGCACATACATAGCAAAACATATACCAGTTCACTCTCTATGGTTTTTAATATGTGTCTCCTGCTGTTTCAAGGATAAAGATTATGTTTTACTCATGTTTCTGTTCCCAGCATGTGGGGAAAAATGAAAAGGGTGCATAATTATCTTGTAATCATAGGCATTTTGTTCTGTCTTGTCAGTAAAACTTCAGCATAGTCTGAACTACTGATGAGATACGGCACTTTGACCACATGTTCCTATAATGAATTCCGGGAGAATCTTACATGGTGAAATTTCTGGGGAATTTTAAAAAATTTTGATAGTAATTTTTGGAAAGTTATTGTTTACAGGAAAATTGATAGAATCATTGGTGCAGTGCATTAACCTCTCTGCTTCAGAAGTTACTAGTTAAGTTTTTTATTTATATGTCTCAATGAAGCAAATGGACATATTTGAAATCTTTCTATTTTATAAGAAGATCAGCTAAAAAGTACATGGTGAGAAAATGCTAGTATTTTTTCCTTCCTCATCTATGTTCATATTAATTAACATAATTATTGTTATTTTTTTACTAAACTTTGGTGACAAAAATGTCACCACCACCCCTTTAGGACACTCCCTTTAGCAGTAGTGGCCAATTGTAATGAAACAAGGTGGTGTTTTACATAATTAATATTCAGTAGATTGAATTATAAGATACCCAGTGAGGCATACATTTAAGATTTATAATTGTTTTTCCTTTTAGTAATTACTTTGCTGTAGACACTGCCTCTGCCATAGCCATTGCTCTGATGACATTTGGTACTATGTATCCCATGAGTGTGTACAGTGGGAAAGTATTACTACAGGTAAGGTTCTTCTTTCAATGTGCATGTTTAATGTTATCTATGTTCTCTTGTAATTTGTAAATTTATACATTATAAAATTGTTTGTGTTCTTCTACTGTAAAATTTTTATCTTCTGGGGTACATTGTTAGAAATGAAGTAGAAAAGTAATCTCTGAAATTTATGTAGTAAGGACCAGATAAAATTCAGTTGACTCGTCAAATAGGCACAAATCCTTATGTATTTGTATTGTAAAGCAAAATCATGAAATTAAAATTTCTTGCTTCTAATAATATTTCAAGTGACAGTTTTCCTTAAAAATTTACTTATTTAGTGAAGGAAGATGGTGTCATACAGATAACATGTACTTTTAATCTCTCTTCAAACTGAGACTCTGAATAACTAGGTAAAGTAGATACAAATAATAGTACCAGAGTTATGAGCAACTAAGGAGAAGATAAAATATTAGAGTCAGTTAAGGTGAATAAATAGAGCCTATTAAACAACTGGGAAAAATAAACAAACCCACCCACTCAGTGGAGATGGAGAGGAGTCATTAGAAATGCAAAAGAGGTTAAGGATGAGGAAAGGAATTAAAAAAAAAAAAAAAATCATTGAGCCCAGAGGCACTGGGGACTCAGAATAGCCACATTGGGAGTTTTTCGAGGTGACCTGGGGCTCTGAGTGAGTACAGTAATTTTACTGGGAAATGGGTCAAGAACCCCCTTGGCTTGGGCTGCTGTGGAGTCCAGAAGGGAGTAGGGTCAAAGGAGAAACTCTTTCAGAATAGATGGAGCCCCGGAGCAGGTGCACGACAGTCAGCTCGGATCCAACTCTTCGGAGACCCATTTTGGCACAGAGTGAACCTGGGTACTGGGATTTTGCAGCTTCTTGATACAAGCAGTAGGTGGTGGCCCTCTATCCATTGGGGTGTCTGTCAGATTTGAACTGCTGATCTTTGATTGACAGTAGGGTTTCATCATCATAAGTAGATGCCTCAGAGGGACCCAGACTGCCCTGTCTGTGCCTGCATCGTTGACTGAATTATCTCACTCCAAATGCAGAAAACTCCTTCTACCTTTCTATCCTGGGGTTCACTTCTGGTGCCATTTTTTTCTTTCCTTTTTCTTCCTCTTCTCTCCTGCCTCATCCATTCAGAGAAACACATGAAACTTCCACCAGGCATCCAGAGCTATTACACTGAACACCTCACCCAGTAGACAAGTAACACCAATAGCTCCTGTGCCACGGGATCAGTGACAGATGGTGGACAACACTTGCTCGTTCCAACCTGAAATCCTGTTCACACTGAACAGAGACCTGCACCCACATCCCCAACAGTGATTCCACCAAAACAGAGAGAGGTGGAGAGAAACCCAGTACACCTGACTTGGTAACCAAAGAACACCTGTTCCACACTTTCAGATATAGCAAAACATAAAATCAGGGTGAAACAAATCAATGCATAACTGAGAATTAAAGGCAACAATTTCAAAACGTCTATGAAACTAGAGACAACCACAAATTTAAAAAAAAAAAAACAGACAATAGAAATAAAAGCTCAGGGTAAAGAATTATCAATCATGGAAGAATGTGCAATAGAACTATTTGAGAAGGAATTCAGAAAGTGTATGTGTGTGTATTTCTGTGTGTGTGTGTGTGTGTGTGTGTATATATATATAGCATCTCTTGTAAGGTTGGCCTGGTTTTAACAGATTCCCTTAGTTTCTGCTTATCTGGCAATCTCCTAATTTCACCATCATATTTGAGGGACAGTTTTGCTGGGTATATAATTCTTGGTTGAAATTTTTCTCTTTCAGGCTTTTATATATACCATCCCATTGCCTTCTCACTTGCATGGTTTCTGCTGAGAAATCAGAGCTTATTCTTACTGACTGACCTTTGTAGGTAACTTTTTGTTTTTCCCATGCTGCTGTCAGGATTCTGTCTTTGTCTTTGGTTTTGATAAGTTTGATGTTGATGTGTCTTGGTGATTTTCTTTTGGGGTCTATCCTGTTTGGGGTTCGTTGGACTTCCTGAATAGATATATTCTCATCTTTCATCATATCAAGGAAGTTCTCCTCCAGCAAATCTTGGACAATTTTCTCAGTGGTTTTGTTTTTCTCTTCCTGTTCTGGAATTCCAATGACACATAAGTTGTTCCTTTTGATGATATCCCACATGAACCTTCATTTTGTGGCTTTCTTCATTTTGTTTTGATTTTTTTTCTGATTGATCCCTTTCCAAAGAAGTATTCAGGTATTTTTCTTCCATCTCGTTAATTCTGTCTTCCATCAATTCTACTCCTTTGCCCTTCCAATGTGTTATCTATGTCTGACAATTTGGTATTAATCTTCTGGATTTCTGTCTGTAGATTTAGAATAATTTCTAATTTTTCATTTTGTCATTTTGTTCTTGTATTTTCTTCCAAAATTCCTCCAGGGCTTTTTCTGTGTTTTCTTTGGTCTGTCTCTCAGTCCTTTGAAGATACCTAAATAAAATTCTTTTGAATTCCTTATCAGAGAGTTCCAATGCTGCTGCTTCCTCAGGGATGTGTTCTGGGTCTATATCCTGCTCCCTTGTTTCTACCACTTTATCCTGCTTCTTTGTGTGGACTGTGATGGTCTTTTGTGTCCTGGGCATTGTGGTGTTGTTGTATTTAGATCTCTGTTAACTTTTTGTGAAGAGCAGCCAAAGGTGATTCAGGCTCTTCTTGGTGGTTTTTTATTATTGGCCCGTTGGTGGAGAAGGAGGTAGTGGCTCTTGCTCAGTAAGTGAAGTTGCAGGAGGTGTGAGTGTAGTTGTGTCTTATGGGGACTGTTGTTGTCTCCCACTCAGTTAGACACAAATTACAATTGAATAACCATCAAAAAACTAAAAGCACATGGACAAAAAACTACACCATGGAATCACACAGGAACAGTAACCAAAAAAAGAAAAGAGGGAAAAGGAAGAAGATAAAACAAGAAAACCTGCAATATCTGGGGATAGGGCACTAAGAGAAAAAAAGTAGAGAAGGAGAATAATGAAGGGAAAAAAAAATGGGAAAAAATGCAAAAAGTAAAAATAAGGAACGGGGTTAACCATGAGAAAAAAAATGGGGGAAAAAAAAAAAAATTTAACCAGGAACAGGGAATAGAAAAAATGCTGAAAACTGTGACCTGGGAGTGGAAGATTAAGAATAATATTAAAAAGGACAAAAGTATTATTAATAATAGTTATTTTAAAACAGACAAATACAAGCAAACTAATCACCACAAAAAAGAAAGCGAAAAAAAAATAAAGAGAAAAAAAAAAATTGGTGGAGGACAGGGCAGGGCACCCAGGCTCCGTCTGAGCACACAGACTGTGATGGAGTTCCTGTGAGCCCAGAAGGTAGGCAGGAGTGGGGAATGGCCACACCTCCATTCACCCAAGTGGGTGTGGGGAATAAGAGTAATGAGGAATGTGGTACCTTTTCACTCTTGCAGGTCCGGAGTGTCCTTGGGGTTGCTGGAAAGCAGAACGTGTTCTTAAGCCCCAGGAATCTGCGAGAGCACTGTCTCTTTAAATATCCCAAATAGTCAAGCCGCTTTTAAACCTTCAAAATGGCAGAACCTTCCAGACCGGCAAAAGTCCACAGCTCGGCCTGCCTTTCTCTTCATCTTCTTCGTTTATTCCCCAGCCACCAGAGCAGTCCTCTGTGCAGTCCCTGGCTAGCAGGGCTGATTTTTAGGTTAATTCTTAGGTCCTACCACTTCTCGGGAATCTTCAAGCTGTCTGTGCCATCAGGATTGCTGCAAGACCGCAGCTCCATATGTCTCCTTTTTTGGTATTTTCATGCAAATTATTCTGCTAGTTGGGGTTTAGTCCATTTCTATATCATCCCCTTCAAGGCTCAGTGGTCCAAGATTATCTTCTGTGTCTGTGTTAATTGGTTTCCCTTTTCTTTGTTGAAGAGGATCTGTGCAGTCTTTCTGCCTAGTCTGCCATCTTGCCAGACCCCCTCAGAATAAAGATTTAAGAGAAATGAGAACCTGAGAGTTATATGGGATGACATGAAAAGAAACAACATATGCCTGATTGGATACCAGAACAAGAGGAGGCAAAAAAGAAAAGAAAGATCACTGAGAAAATTGGTGAAGACTTGCTAACAGAAAATTTCCCCCATATCATGAAGAAAGAATAGATATGCTTCCAAGAAGCTCAGTGAATCTCATACAAGATAGATCCCAATAGACAGTCAACAAGATATTATAATCAAACTTTCCAAAACCAAAGACAAAGAAAGAATCTTGGGAGCAGCTCTGTAAAAACAAAGTGTCACCTACAGCGGACAAGCAGTAAGAGTAAACTCTGATTTCTTAGCAGAAACCATGCAGGCAAGAAGGCTATGGGATGGCATATATAAAACTTTGAAGGAAAAGAATTGCTAACCAAGAATTATATAGCCAGCCCAACTATCCTTCCTATATGAGGGTAAAATCAAGACATTCTCAGGCAAACAGAAATTAAGGGAATTTGTGAAAACCAGAGCAACTCTATAAGAAATGCTAAAGAGAATCCTTCTAATGGAGAACCCACAACAGAAAACAAGTTAAAATCAAGATACTTGATACTGCCACTTAGAAACCAAACCAGAAATAGATGCTCAAAATAAGCTCTTAAAATAATGTACGCAGAGAAATACGGGAGTCAATCTGCAGATGACACCGGCAACAAAGCAATTAGAGGGAATAAAAGTTTTAATTACAAAACTTCTAAATGAAGAGGAAGATAGGACAATGTCTTTATAGAACAGACTGTTCCAAACTTAGGGAGATAAGAATTTACTTCAGGGTAACCACAAAGAAAATTAACAATCCTCCTAAGCAAACTCAAAGAAAAACACATAGGCTTAGTAAGCACAAAACAAACAGTAATGAATAAAAGGGAAAAAACATGATAACACAATGAATTCACCACAGAAAAATATTTGGAACAAGAAAATCAACAAAAACATGATAGAATGACAGCAATAAATTCATGCCTATCACTAATTACACTCAATGTCAATGGACTAGAAGCTCTGGTGGCATTGTGCCTTAGGCATTTGACTGCTAACCAAAAGGCTGGTAGTTCAAATCCACCAGCTACTCTTGGAAGGAAGGTTGGCCAATCTACTTCCGTAGTGATACCACCTCGAAAACCCAAGGAGGAGTCTCTGTGAGTCGGATCCGACTTGACAGCAATACATTGTGTTGTTGTTGTGAATGGACTATATGCACCAGTCAAGAGAATGAGAGTAGTAAATTGGATAAGAAGAGAAGACCCATCAATATGATGCCTACCTTAGACTCAAAGATAAAAACAAATTAAAAATTAAGGAGTAGAAAAAAATCTATCAAGCTAATGGCAACCAAAATCGAGTATGAATGGCAATAATTTCTGATGCAATAGACTTCAGGGTGACAAACAGCATAAGGGGCAAAGAAGGGCATTATATGATGCTAAAAGGGTCAATTGACCAAGAAGATAATAGATATCTATGCATCCATTTGAAAGAGCTACAGAATACATAAAGTAATGTTAACTGAATTGAAAGGAAAAATAGACAATTCTACAATAGTAGTAGGAGACTTTAACACACCATTTTCAAGGAGGGACAGATCAACTAGAAAAAAACTCAACAAAGATACAGAAGAACTCAACAACACAATCAGCCAACTTGACCTCATAGATGTAACACAGAGCACTCCAGCTGACAAAATCACAATGCACATTCTCCTCCAGTGCGCATGGATTATTCTCCAGAATAGACCATATGTTAGGACACAAAACAACCCTCAATAAATTCAAAAATACCGAAATACTACAAAACATCTTCTCAGATCACAATGTTATAAAATTAGAAATCAGTAATAGGAAGATCAAGGAAAAAATACCAAATATGTGGAAACTAAATAATATACTGCTCAAAACCCACTGGGTAGCAGAAGAAATAAAGTGTGAAATAAAATAATTCCTAGAAACAAATTAGAATGAAGATACAACTTACCAAACCTTGGGGACACAGTGAAAGCAGTACTCAGAGGTCAGTTTATAGCAATAAATGCACACATCATAAAAGATGAAAGAATCAAAATCAACCCTTTAACTCAGCAACTCCAACAATTAGAAAAAGTGTAACAAAAGATAGCTACAGTATCCAGAAGTAAGGAAATAATAAAGATCAGAGCAAAAATAAATGAAGCAGAAAACAAAAATAAATAAAAATCACAAAACAAAAAGCTGGTTCTTTGAAAATCTTAACAGCATTGACAAACCACTGGCAAATTTAACTAAAGAAAAGAGAAGATGCAGATAATATGAATGATAAACAAAAAGGGCAACATCCCAACAAAGCCAACTGAAATAAAAGAGATAATAAGAATATTACAAAGAATTGCAGTCTAACAGATTCGAGAACCTAGAGGAGATGGACAAGTTTCTAGACCTACCTTAACTATCCCAGTTAGAGATAGAATACTCAAACAAAAGAAGAAATTGAGCAGGTCATAAAAAAAAAAAAAAAAACTCCCCACAAAAAAAAGTCATGGCCCCTTTGGCTTCACTGGAGAATTTTACCAAACTTGGGTAAGAGCTGATATCTATACTATTCAAACTATTCCAGAACATAGAAAAAGATGGAATATTCCCAGATTCATTCTATGAAGCAACCTTAACACTGATACCAAAACCAGGGAAAGACACCATTAAAGAGGAGAACTACAGACCAATATCCTTCATGAATATAGATGCAAAAATCTTCAACAAAATCCTAGCCAATGGAATCCAACAACATATCAAAAAAATAATACATCATGACCATGTGGAATTCATACCAGTTATGCAAGGATGGTTCAACATCAGAAAAACAATCAGTATAATCCACCACATGAACAAAAGAAAAGAACCATATGATCATATCAATCGATGCAGAAAAGGCATTTGATAAAATCCAACACCCATTCCTGTCCAAAACTCTCATCAAAATAGGCATAGAAGGGAAAATCCTCAACATAATAAAGGGTATGTACACAAGAACAACAGCCAACATTATTGTTAACGGAGAAAGACTGAAAGCATTCCCCCTGCAAATGGGAACCAGACAAGGAAGCCCTCTATCATCAGTTCTATTTAACATTGTATTGGAAGTCCTAGCCAGGTCAGTAAGGCAAGAAAGAGAAATAAAAGGCATCAAAATTGGGAAAGAAGCAAAGCTATCTCTATTTGCAGATGACATGATCCCATACATAGAAAACCCAAGAGACTCAGCAAAAAAATTACTGGAACTAATAGAAAGGTTCAGCAAGATTGCAGGATATAAGGTCAACATACAAAAATCAGTTGGATTCCTCTATATCAACCAAGAGCCCTCTGAAAAGGAAGTAAAGGAAAACAATACCATTTACAATAGCTACTCAAAAGATAAAATATTGAGGAATAAATCTTACCAGGCACACAGAAGACCTGTACAAAGAAAACTACAAAACACTGCTATAAGAAACTACATAAATAAAAATGAAAATAAGCTATATAAATGGAAGAACCTACCTTGTTCATAGATAGGAAGACTGAATATTGAAAATGTCAATATTACCCAAAGCAGCCTGCACATTCAATGCAATCCTGACCCAGATTCCATCAGCATTTTTTAAGGACATGGAAAAATCAATCACTAATTTCACATGGAAAGGAGAGAGATCTCAGATAAGCAAAGTACTGCTGAAGAAGAAAAACAAAGTAGGCTGTCTAAAAACTACTAGACAGCCACAGTAGTTAAAACAGCATGGTATTGGTAGAATGACACAGATAGACCAGTGGAACAGAACTGAAAACCGAGAAATAGACCCATCCATCTATGGACAGCTGATCTTTGACAAAGGACCCAAACTCATTAAATGGGGGAGAAATAGCCTCTTTAACAAATGGTGCTGTCAGAATTGGATATCCACTTGCAGAAAAATGAAACAAGACCCATACCTCACCCCATACACAAAAACAAGCTCAAGTTGGTTCAAAGACTTAAGTATAAAACCCAAAACTATAAAGCTCATCAAAAATAAAATAGGGACACATCTAGGGGCCCTACATGAAGAACACCTACCCCAGGGTGATGCACCCATCTACTCTAGGGAGATGCACCCCTTGGATTAATCAGCCATGAAATACCAGAAGGGCAGCATTCACATAGGGAGAAAGCTGGACAGACAAAAAAAAAAAAAAACCCGCTTAGTTAAGAAAGGCACGGGGCAGGGTGTGTGTTGGGGGTAGTCACATGGATGGTAGGGGAGAAGAGTTTTTATGGTTGGGGATCTAATCTGGGTGTGAAATCAGATGTGCATGAACTGTTGAATGTAAAACAAATTTGCTTTGTAAATTTGCACCCAAAGCACAATAAAAAAAATAGAGGCAAAACAAAACAAAAAATTTACTTATTTAATATTACTTAGGAACTTGGGTGGGGTAGTGGTTAAGGCATTTGGAGTAAATCAAAACGTGGGTGGTTCAAACCCCCCAGCCACACTCTGGAACAAAGATGGGGCACACTTTTAAATCCATAAAGATTTAAAGCCTTGAGAACCCAATGGGGTCTTTATGAGTGGGAATCGATTTGATGGCAGTGAGTTTTCTTTTTTTAAAATGTTACTTAGTCACTTACTTTCCCTTCAGTAAATATACTTCCACTGTATAATCTGGTTATGATTGTTTTCCTATTTTGGATCAATAAAACTTTTAAATTTCAAGCTTAAAATTAAAAATGACAGATTACTACTGAGTGAAACAACAGAAACAGCTGTGGACAAGCACTTAAATTCAAAGGTAGTTTCCCAGGGTTGGATGTGTAACCACTGTTTTCTTCTGTCTCACCCTCATGCCTTTTCTAAAACTTAGGGCCTGTGGCAGCATCCCCAGAAGCAGTCACAGTAATAGTTCTACAATGCTGTGGCTGCACAAAATGTTCCTTTGGATTGGTTGGTAGTGTGGTTCTTTAAAGCCTTATGTAGTTTTGGAGCAGCTTATTATGAAATGATCATGGGAAGATTCCTGATGCTTGTCCTATTGTTGTTGTTGTTATGTGCTGTCGAGTCGGCCCCGACTCATAGCGACCCCTCCTTGGGTTTCCGAGGCAGTATCACTACGGAAGTAGGATTGCCCAACCTTCCTTCCGAGGAGTGGCTGGTGGGTTTGAACCGCCAGCCGTCTGGTAGTAGGGCCCATTGAAACCCTCTTCACTAAATCACAGTAACCTATGTCATACAGAGGCCGTTATAAGACCTAATCATTTTTTATTTTAAAATTTTATTTATTTTGTTGTTGAGAATATCCACAGTAAAACATCCATCAATTCAATAGTTTCTACATGTATAATTCAGTGACATTGATGAAAACCCAATTATTTTGGTTTCAGGACGTCTGTTGCAAAAAAATTTTTTTCTCCCTAACTCAGCCACTGCCACTGAGTCGACTCTGACTCATAGTGACCCACATTGGGTTTCCAAGGCTGTAGATCTTTACAGAAGTAGATTGCCTTATCCTCCTCCCATGGAGCAGTTGATGAGTTTGAACCGCTGACCTCCTCATTAGCATCCAAATGCCTTACCCACTACATCACCAGAGCTCCTTTTTCTCCCTAGGTTATTTATATTTTATTTTATTTTTCTCTAGACAACACCACCTCATGTTATTGGTCAACTGGATAAACTTATCAGAGAGGTAAGATGGAATGACAAATAAAATCATTTTAATTTATAATTAAGGAATTGAAAGAGTGGGTGCAAATAGTACTGTATTTTAGGGAATTTTATGTTCTTTATAATCACACAGAAGGAGCCATCATATAGTGGCAATAATATAAAATTGTGATGAATTGTCCAGCTTGGAAGCCAAATTCACTTGAAATAAATGTGGAAAGTGTTGGTCTAACAGCTGTATAAATATTTTTTATAACTATTCAAACCTAGGATTTTAGTAAAGTCAAAACCTACTTTCACATGTTGATTATTTGACCATGTATGGACTTTCTATTAGAAATTTCCATCTGCTGACTAATGAAGGAATAAGATAATTTAATTATTTGGATGTTGAAACTATTTTAAACTACTGGTTATTGGTATAACAGAGGCCACTTTTTCCAATATGGTTGGCTACTTGTCTTAGTTAGTGAAGCCTAGCCGTGGGTATGTTTCCTTTGCCCAGCATCCATATAACATCCTGTGTTGTGGAGAGGTTAGTTATAAGAGAATCCAGAGAAAGAAAGAATTAAGAAAGAAAAGAAAAGAAATCTCATACCGTAAGTGTTAGATATAAATATATGCCATATTGATAAAGTTAAAAGAACTATATACGCTGTTGAGAAAGGTGTGGTGGTGCTGGTTGGGAGGTTAAGACTAAGCAGTCAGGACTTAATTCTGCAAAAATTGGGGCATGTGAAAAATTGGGGAAACAAGACTTAAGTCGGCACTGATCAAGTAGGAATGATACCTTGAGTGATTTGAGGTATCTCTTGGCTAACGAGTGTTCTCCTGCAAATTTGACCGTATGTGTTTCTAGGCTTAGAGCAAGCCCATAATACGGCTGGACTGTGTTGGATATAAAATGCAGGCAACTTGGATAACCTGTTTCTATGTTACTTATTTTTTTTAATTAGGTATCTACCTTGGATGGAGTTTTGGAAGTCAGAAATGAGCATTTTTGGACCCTAGGTTTTGGCTCATTGGTATGTTTGCTACATATTACTTTAGTTACAGTTTAAAACATAGTTTAATTTTAAAAACTGAGGAAAATACTTCTTTAAAATATTAATACAGCTTTTGATTCCCATTGCTGTTCTATGTTGTTATGTTGTTGTTAAGTGCCGTCGAGTCGTTTCCGACTCATAGCGACCCCATGCACAGCAGAACGAAACACTGCCCGA